GCCAGGAGGGTGAGGGCTTCTGGGCACCGACATCCCACACGCGCCCCCCGCCCCGCCCCAGGATAGCAAGCGCCTGTGACGAACACAGACGTGCTCGGCAAGAAGACACCTCAGAGTCGTCACAGGGACACTCCGTCTACGTGACACCCAAGCCGCACGCTGCCTCTCAGCTCGGCGCCCGCCGTCCCCCCGGGGCTCCAGGTCCCTGCAGCACCCACACCCCTGCGGTCTGGGGGGTGCTCACCCCCAGCTCCTCGGCGATCTTCTGCCAGTGCAGGTGGCCGTGCTTGGCCGCGATGGCCTTCAGCTGCTCCAGCTCCGGCCTGGTCCACTCCTGCTTGTTGATGCTGGGGTGCTCCCAGTTCTGCCAGAACTTCCGGATCTCCTCTGCGCTGCGGCCGCCCTCAAACTGAGAGACCCCGCGGAGCTGTCACTGGCAGCGGCCGTGCGGAGAGAGCGAGCGCTCCATCCAGGCGCCAGGCCTCGTGCAGCCAAACCCATAGACTTGGCTCTAAATGCAAAGCGACTCCGCCCCCGCCCCCTTCAGCAGAGGCTCACACCAGCAGAGGCGGGAGGGGGGGGGGGGGTTTGTGTGCGGGAGGAGGTGCGCTGAGAGCCGCCCCAGTGCTGGCCACGCACCTGGCCACGGGTCGCGCTGGGTCTGGTGGTGGCCACGGAGCGTGCTCCGACTTACATTAATGTTGGAAATCTTCTCCCAGTCGTGGCTGTCCAGCCTGCTGCCCAGCAAGGCCTCCTCCGGGAGCTGGCTGCAGAGGCGAGGGCTTCCCACCCGCGGTGCCCAGAGTTCCAGCCTCCCCACCTCCTTGTGCCTGAAGTGCTAACCTATGGGGGTTTGACTTGTATTCCTGAAAAGATGGAGGATGTGGGCCTCTTTTCATGCGTTTAATCTTTGGAGAAACGTCTGTTCAGGCCCTTTGTCCATTTTTGACTTGTTTTCTCTGCTGGGGAACAGGTTTCATTGTGGGGGGATCAAAATACCCTAAAAATCATGGCCACGACGACTCAGTGCTCACACCAGAAACCACAGACCGCACGTGCCGAGAGGGTGAGCTGGGTGGCAGGGGAGCCACGCCTTCACAGAGCGGCCGGGATAGAAGCCAGCCCAGAGGAGGGGCTCGGCGAGCTGGGGGAGGAATCGCACCAGGGCTCAGGGCGCCTGCCTCTCAGGGACCGTCCCCACTGGAGTCTGAATAAGTTGCAGCTTGAAGGTAAAGAGCTGCCCCACTTCCCGACTGGGTCTCCCCTGGGCCCCAGGCTGCCCCGGGCCAGAGCACCGGCCTGGTCTCTGCGCCCACCCAGGCCCACCGCACCCGCAGGGCGCACTCACCGGTCCCGGCATTGGGCGTCGCTCCTCCCTGGCACCTCCTCCCGGATTTTAAACCAATCGTGCTCCCCGTATTTGGCAACGGCCTGAAGCAACTTCTGCAGGAAGGACAGACAGATGGGCCTCTGCAGTAATCACAACCCCCACTCAGTCCGCTAAAGGTCCGCCAGGGCCCAGTGGCCACCAGTGTCCAGGTGCCCTTCCCAGGAGATGGCCCTCCCGGCCCCCACACCTACCGTGTCTTCCTCTGGGGTCCAGAGGCCCTTTCTGAGGCGGGGGTCCAGGCTCTTGGTCCACCGGTAGATGAGCTGCATGGAGTCCCTCCCCTCCATGTAGTAGACAACTGGGGGCAAAGGGGCCTCGTGAACGTGCCCCTCCCGGGTCCCCCAGGAAGGAGCAGCCATCACCACGGAGCATGGAACCGGGACCCCTGGGGCGGCCGGACACTCCCTTCTTCCTCCTGCCTGGCCTCGCCACCGTAGTAGACAAGGGGCAAAGGGGCCTCGTGAACGTGCCCCTCCCGGGTCCCCCAGGAAGGAGCAGCCATCACCACGGAGCATGGAACCGGGGGGACTGGGGCGGCCGGACACTCCCTTCTTCCTCCTGCCTGGCCTCGCC